AGCTAGCGAAGAGCCACATAAATTCAAAAATCAGTAATTTAAATTTATTTTCTAGTAAGCAGATACTCATTTTTGCAGAAGCTTTAAGCTACAAAGTGATTGTGATTGGCGCTGGCACTGGTGGCTGTGCTCTGTCGCATCGGTGTCAAAAGTTGGTCCCGAAAGGGCAGGTTGCCGTTGTGGAACCAGCCGATGTCTGAGTTTTTTTTTTTCAAGTTCTAATACTCAGTGAACATTACAATTAATTTTATTCAATATTCGGCATTTCGAAAGTGAGCTGAGAGTCAAGTCGTCTTTCTATGCATTTCCTGTGAAAATTGGAAGTAGTCCTTTCGTGACAGCATTTTGTCAGCTGCTTCATTTCTTTGGGTTTCATTTTTGCAGGAACATCACTATCAACCCGGATATACGCTTGTTGGTGGCGGGCTGTACAAGCTGCAACAGTGTAAGACGCCTATGAAGCGCGTTCTGCATCCGGACAATGTCTGGATTAAGCAAGCCGCGAAGAAGATCAATCCCCAGGAAAACTCCATCGAACTAATGTGAATATGCATGACATTTTAGCGCAGATTGAAAATGCCCTTCATCGTTTAGCCGAAGGAGATGCGTGTTAAGCAATCCTAAAATGAGGTTGTAAAATGCATCCATTCGCTATAGTCAGGCGCGTAGTCGGTTTTGCAAAAATACAACTTCCGTTGTGTTGAAGTAGCTTAATATTTTGTCAGATGTCGAGATTTTGAAAAATCTCGAAATATTTTGCACACACATTGAAATTTGTTAAAAAATCGCCATTGCACTGGTTTTTTTCTAAAAAGAGAATTTAGAAAACTCTCTTTGCATTTTTGATCAGGAAGGTAGGTTTTTTCACCGCTTTTTACTTGCCTCGATCAATGGGCTATACAAATTCATCCAAGCCCTGAAAATCACTGCTTTTTTTAAAGCTTTTTTTCAGTGACGGAACGAAAATCAGTTATGAATTGCTTATTGTTGCAGCGGGGCTCCAACTGCGATATGATTTGGTAAGAGTTTTTATGCGTTTTGTGCTATGCAA